AAGATTTCAGGCGTCAGCCAGCTTTTAGGTCACCAGATAGCTGACACAAAGGTTACCTTTCAAGCGAAACTTTTCGGGCACTGGAAAAAGCCCGGATAGGCTTTCTTTTCGGTATCGCTGAAGTTCACTGTGAAAGGTATCCTTTCTGGTGCCCCAATTTGTCGTTCTGAATGCACTCAAAGGTCCTATTCTCAGACCATTGAAATATTGGCAGTAACTTTGGGGCAGCTGAGCTCAGTCGAGGATTACATGAACATTTTCCGCTGCCGCTTCCGGGGCGGTGCCCGCCGTGACAACAGGAGGGTAAGGCGGAACCCGTCAGTACGAACGCGGTCGACGTCCGGCCTTCCGCCCCGCCGCCACTGTCCCGCGCGGCCTCCCGAAGGGGACCGTAGAAAAACTATATATACAAGCGTGGTCGCCGAATTATGGTACACTGCGCTCGTCTACGGTCGACCATCTACGTACGAGTACTGGCTCAACCGTCTTCAGATCGACGACGCCGCCCTGCCATCATAGGGTGTAGCGGTACCCACTCCACTCGTCGCCCTTGTCCTGCTTCGCCTCCGCGACACTCGCGTACGTCCCGTTCTTCGCGAGTTCCGTGCGCCCATCGTTGACGCCCTTTATGATCTCGTCCCGCTCGCCGCGTTCGCGCTTCGCGTTCTCGCGGCGGAGGAAGATGTGGTAGATGATCGCCATGACGAGACCAATCCCGATGTACATGAGCACGATGCCGTGCCCGAGAGTGTACCACGGGGCGTCCCGTGCACGGTACTGCGCGGAACGTCAGCGGGTCAGCCTGGATGGAGGAGAAGAGGTAGGAAGCAAGGTACGTACGACGTTCGAGGAGACTGCACCGTTGATGTTGCCGAAGGAGATGACCATGGCGATCGAGACGCTGCGCTTGTACGAGCCCTCGACGTTGTTCGAAACCCATGCGATGATGTTCGGGATGGTAGGGTAAATACCGCACGCAGCCAGGTATACGGCCACGTATGACAGCGCCGCATTGCGGGACGCGATCAGAATGATATAGCCGACGAGTCCGACAGACAAGGACGCCCTGCAATGGTGTGAGCTTGTGAAGCCGGCTGCTATTGTGGGAGCAGGACTTACATGGTGAGGTATCCGCGATTGCCGTAACGGTCTGCAGCCCAGCCAACTACACAGGTCACAATACACGCCACGACGTATACCGGAACGCTCAGTAAGTTCGCAGGAGTTGCGGTATATCCTATGAGACAGGATGAGTCCAGGACAAACTTAGATCGTGTCATTGCACCTACCAAGGGCCTTGATGATACTGGGCAGGAAGAGCGAGAACGCGTACAAGGGGCCATCAGCTCCCATGTACAAGAACACTGTGAGACAGGGTCAGTCTTCGGCGCAACTTGAACGTATGCTGCTCCGCAAACCCACTTCCAACCCATGTCTTCCAGTCAAGCAGACTCTGCCAGATGTAGTGCCACCTGAGGTTCTCACCAGCCGCGCTGAACTGATCGTCCGACTGCAAGCGACGAACGACAACCGTACGCTCCGCCTCGGTCAAGAACTTTGCTGTGTCCGGGAAGTCCTGGATAATCCAGAACGACAGGAAGCCCGCGACCACCGTGATGAGGCCCTCGATGATGAAGATCCACGCCCACGCGGGCTTTCCGGCAACGCCATCCATGTTGGAGATCGCTGCCTGTATAGGAGGATTCAAAGATCATCGGGACAGCGCACGATGGTTCACGAGCACATGGGCGGTGCGCCGAAGAGAAGCAAATCCAGGAGCAGTAGGTCAGCTCCGGTGCTGCATGGACGTAAAAAGGTAGAACCATAACGTACAGCGAGCAATCCACCGAACGCGCCGGACACTGTCGCCGCGGAGAAGAAGACAGCGGCCCGGATGCCGAACTCAGAGCGTTTGTACCAGCTGCACATACCACGCATCGTACAGTCAGTGAGTGGATTCGACCGATAGAAGGCCGTGCGCGAGCGAAGTTCACGGAGACGCACCATGAGAGATAGTAGTTCACGCCCGGGAACAGACCGGCTTCAAACATGCCGAGCAGCCACCGCATGCCTGCGACGCAACGACGTATGTCAGAGGGACGTAACCTTATCATGCCATGAATTGTCCGAGCGGAGAACTTACCAAGCAGTCCGCCATAATTGTGCACCAATCCCTGCACGGTCTAGAGTAGCAGGAGGTGGGTACTTGGAGTGTGGACGGGCAAGATTTGGGCGACGTACCATCATGATGCCCCAGCAGAACATGAGGAGCGAGAGCCACACTGACGGCCGCAAGCGCTTGAGGAAGACATTGGAGGGGACCTCGAATATCGCATACGAGAAGAAGAAAATCGTGAGTGCAATGAGGTATTGCTGGTCCGTGATGTGCAGGTCCTGCTCGAGGTTATACAGCTGTCCGCCGAGATCACCGTGCGTCAGCCTGCATTCCCTGCATTCAGACTGCCGACGCGGGCGACGCACCTTTGCATTCCCAATGCTCGTCCGGTCCAAGAAGCTGAGGAGGTACAAGAACGAAAGCCAGGGGACGAGGTACAAGTCGAGCTTGCGCATCAGCTTGCGCTCATCCACTCCACTGACGTCGACATGGGCGTTGTAGAGCGGGTGCTCCAGGTTCGCCCCCGCGTCTGGGGAGACGCGCTCGACCTGGGACACGCGCCCCTTCTCGTCCGAGTACGTCGACGCCGCGGATGTCTTCACCGCCTGCTTCTCGGGGTCTGAAGTCCCGGACATGGCTGCTGCGTGGAGTTCCAATGACGACGGGCGGATTGAATGGCGAAGGGCCGTGATCGTGGATGCAGAGCAAGCCGTGGGTGCTGGGAACGGGCTGCCAACTTTCGTGCGCGGCTGGCTTATATGTCTGTTTCGCAGTCAGCCTCCACTCGGTTGTCCCTGGGGTACTCCAGTTCATCTCGCACGCGAACTATAACGGGAAGATAGGACCGTCAGCCGCGGCAAAGCAGGATAGCCGGGCTATCTGGTGTCCCCCATTAGAAATATCTGGTCATGGGTTCGCCGCGAGATTGATACAAATCAGAACTGGCGTTCTGGCGCGTTTGGCGTTTCGAGGCCGCCGTGCCCACGCTCGCGAAGCTTAGTAGAAATCAGTAGTAGCTCAGGAACACCGCAGCGTCCCGAGCACTCTTGACGTGGACTCTAGCGTAACCTCGTGGGATCCGTAAGACTCCCGAGACACAAATGGAGGTCATGCATGCATAGGCATACATATGATGGAAGAAAGTGGAAGTGAGACAAGTCCAATCTGGAGACAAAACCGGGGTAGTGGCAGTGATGCACAACTACCCGGCGGGGTAGCCATCCGGGGTAGTTCTGCAGAACGTTTGCCCGTGCGGGGTATGATGTGCAAGTTGCCACCTTCAGGGCGGCTCGACGGCCCACGGGCCGTAAAGATTGCATATCTTCTCCTTGGCACCGTCAGGGTACAACGCACATACATCGACACTTGGAAGGTGACCGCGCAATGCGGATGCGTGGCGAATCAAGCTCAAGGACGTGTCCTTCGCATCTTGCTGTCGTCTCGGAAAGCCTATGCTCGCGACCGTAGTCATCGGGTTGTCATATAGCATGTTTCAGGCGTCCAGGGGAAGGAAGCGAACGTCGCTCCGAACACAACGTGCGAGGCTCCTCACCTCAGTTCGGTTACTCCCTCTTCGCCTTCGCAGCCGACGCCAATCTCTGCCTATCCCACTTCTCCCTCCATATCGCATACTGCGCATCAGTTCCCGCATCCGACCACACCGCCCAGCCATCTCGCAGACGGAACCATGCACATACTGGGTTGGTGAGGAGAGTCGTCCGGAACCGCCCGAGGAGGGAATCTGGCCGTTTGGTAGGGATGAGCTCGACAAGCGTGTAGTATGCAGAGCCGAAAATGACTCCGATGCTGAAGCCCCAGAGCACTTGCGGGATTGTGTGGTAGGACAGATAGTACCTGTAAGATGGGTACATTGATTAACAGCCGGGATGAACGCGAGGGGCCTCTCGAGCAAAGGAGCGTACCTGGAGAACGCGACTGCAGCGGACCACGATAGGATGAACGCGAACAAAAGCACATCCCGCGCGTAGTCGAGTAGAACGAACCCAGTCGAGACCCAGCGATGGCGGAGGGAGAAGTGGAGGAACAGGAAACTTGCGAAGTAGCCCATCCACTGGCTATGCGACGATGGAAAGCCATACCCGTCGCCCAAGTCCTCTGCGCGCGGGGACAGCGGTTGGTACCGGGGTAGGGGAGGCACGAGAGAATGGACAAGACTCACCATTCGGTCGATCCTCTCGGACGACGTGCTTCAGCACGTAGTTTGACGCCTCGCAAAGCATCTGTCCCGCCCACATCTCCAGGAACACCAGCTCCCGCGTCCACAGAGTTAGAGCAGCATACGCGGGCTATGTTCACCCAGTCCGTACATCAGCTTCACAGCCTGTCTCCCAGTGCGTAGGACTACTCACATTCAGCAATATGGGGCTCAAAGTAAGGAGGGCGAGTATTTGAGCCGAGGTGGAAGATTCGTCGTCTGTTCACGTCGCTGTTAATGGCATTGTTGGTCGGGTCATGGAAATCGTTGAACGCGATATGCACATACATAATACATAGGTGAGCTCCAGCGCCGCACGCGACACGTTCGCCGGTTGGGCTGCCATGGCAGTTAACGATGTGGACAACCAGTTGTGCTAACAGAAAGCAAGAGAGGGCAGCAGTTCAAAGCAAAACACGAAGAGTGACGAGCCAGGGCTGGTAGGCGCGCGCCTATGCAATGCCCGGTAGCGCCGGGCGCCAAAGAGTGATGTCGACCCGACCTTGTCCTTGAACCAACAGCAAGACATACCGAGGATGAGAAACTCGTCTTGCATGGATATTCGCATCTGAAGCCTGGGGAAGATAAACGAAAATCGCCAAAACATGAAGTTACATAGGAAACCTCGAGTCCCGGATCAGGAGGAGCGGCGGACAGGCGGCCTTCCAAGACACTATAGCCAAGTGGTTAAGGCGACAGATTAGAATGTTCCTCACCAACAATCTGTTTCTCTCTGAGAGCGTAGGTTCGAACCCTACTGGTGTCGTGCTGGATGTCACCCATTCTTTTTTCCGCCCTTCATCGGTGTATATCCCCGCAAACTGCGGCAAATTCACCAATGACAGTAGGAGGCACGCAGATCTATGAGGCTATAAGGTTCGACGACGTTTCATTACATCGTCTCCTCATCCACCACCACCATTCGAAGCTCACCAGGTGCACAAGAACGTAGATATATTCATGATTCGAGCGAGAACTCTGCCTCAATCGTTGCAACCAGCCTATCCACTCATCATCAGGTTCCGCCGCCCACACACTCAGTACTCATTCCTTGCCTGAATCGCCTTCGCCTTCTGTCATCTTTTAATCACGCAGGACCCCGGGGTAACGCAAGCTGCTGATAGTGAACACCGACTTTATTACCGCCGCGCTCCAAGAACACACTTGTTTAAAATGGCGAGGCTCGTCCCAGGGAAACTCAACCCACTATGCCCAGCGTGTGTCGAGCCCCGAGCACGATATTGTCAATGAGCCTCGTCTTCCCGACGTACATCGCCCCGCTGAGGACAACAGGCCGTCCCTCCTGGTCTGCCTCCCACTCTCCACGCGAAACCGTCGGCGAGAGCTCGTCGAAGGACTCCGGATCGTTCATGTCGATGTAGTCGAGCCGGAGGTCGACAGCGTCGCCAAGCTCGGCCTTCTTACGCTCAACAACGGCCTGTGCGCGAGAGATGCACTCAGCTTTGGGTGCGCCTGACTCCCATGCAGACTTGGCTGCGTCGAGGGCTGCGTAAAGCGCGGGGGCGGCGTTCTCACGTTCGTGGTCTGTCAGGTACGAGTTGCGGGACGATAGCGCGAGAGAGGTCTTGGGATCCCTACAACTTGACAGTCAGAACATCCTAGCAATACCCGCTTCGCAGAGCACTTACCGGGCAGTGGGAACAATGAAGAGGTTCTCTGGCTCGGGGTGTGAGAGCAGAAGGTCGCGTGTCATCTTCCGAAGCAGCAGGGCCTGCTGGATGTCCTTCTGCCCAAAGTACGTGCGAGTGGGCTGTGCACCTATCAATACCCCGCCTTCTTGCAGGACGTCGAAGGATCTCGCGTACCTCGATGACGTTGAAGAGCTTCGTGACAACCGTCGCGACCCCGCGGAAGAACGCCGGGCGCGTCCGGCCCTCCATCTGGTGGCCATAACCCTTGACTTCGACGAAGGTGCCCTTTTGCTGGTCGACGCTCAGCACGATTCCACTCGGGTACATCTCGTTGACCGTGGGCACGAAGACCGCTGCGGGGCTACGGCCGGAGACAGAGACCTCTGAGAGCAGCTCGAGGTCGCGGGGGAGCGTGCGGGGGTACGTTGCAAGGTCTTCGTGGGGCGCGAACTGAGCCGGGTTTACGAAGATGGAGAGCACCGTGAGGTCATTCTCAGCCAGAGAACGGCGAACTAGACGGGGAGGATTTGCATGTAAGACACACGACCGATTTGACAATGGGGTGGTCAGAGTACACGGCTCCGTGACGATTCTGCGAGCGATTACAGAGTCGTCTCGTAGGCTCGAATTGCCCTGTGATCACCTTAGCTTTGGTAGCACTCTCCTCCACATCCCAAAACTCAAGGATCCGTGCAACTCGTCTGGCCGCATCTACAATGATCGGTGGGAGGGAGGTATGATTGAGAGGCCTCAGAACAGGAATCGACGAGTTGGTGTTCCCCTTGGCACACCGTCGGATAGATTTCCTATCCTGAACCATCTTTCCGGACCCGCAGTGACCAACCATGCAACCGTACTTGGATCGACAACTTTGACCACCCCGAAGAGACTCTGGGACGTACCAAGTGAGAGGTGTCCTTGATGTAACGCGCCCATCGTCGCGACGAACCCGACAGACTTGCTCTCCTTGTACGCATTCCTCCGCCATTCCCTGTACGACGCGACAGTAGGAAAGAGCGGTATTGAGGACTGCGGGAGTTCGGTCGACATGGGTCTTCGCAGGAGTAGTCTTGGAGAGGATTTGCTGGTTGACGAGACTTGCGTTACAGGTTTTAATCGCCCAGCGAGGAGCATAGAGGTGCGGGTGGTGTAGGTGCGATGGCAAAACGAGTCAGGCGGAAGTATTGGGGTGTCATCCTCGTTCGAGTCCGAGTCGTGTCGGACGACCAGCAGTAAAATCCGACCTCAACTCAGCCACCTGATATAATGCGACCCACGTGACTTTCTACACGACGCGTCGCGTGAAGGTAAACCGTAAAGTTTGTCAAATGACCACCATGGTCGCCCACGAGCCAGCTAGTTTGAGATACTCGCGGAAATTCTAAGTACAGTCGCAGCAGTGTGAGTACTTGTGTACTACCGCATCCGAGTCGTTCTATGTACCGCGCAGACACTGACTGACGTCTTAATTAATGTTCTCGATTGCAGATCCATCATATGTGGAAACTTAGGTACCCTCTCGCAAGGAACCGTGACAGTCTCAAGATGTATTCATCTGCACCAAGGGTCAGATGTAAGCCATATCCCGTCGTTGCTGATGCCCACTTATACCACTAGCCACGAAACCCCTCGAATCCTCTAAACCGTGCCCCAGACCATTGAACTAAGTGCTCCAAAGCAGACCCTCAAGCTGGGCGTACTGCAGCTACTCAGCGTGCCGCGCGCTGGGCCGCCTATGTCGTTGGTTCCGCCATGCAGTGCCGCCGCCGCCGCCGTCTTGTCCCAGCAGCTCCCATGCTCGTTGACTCCATCTGTTTCAGCAGTCATCCCGTTTCAGGCTGATTTGTGCTTCAACTGCCTTTGGTAGCCCTACTCCCATTTCAATTCGCACACAAGACACGGTTTCATTGGAGGCGTCGGTGCGGCGTTAGGCTGCGCCCGCTCCATTCGCACCCCGAGTCTATTTCCCGATAGTTCGGCGCAATGCTCGCAATGAAGTATAAGTTTCGCTAAAGAACAATCTCATCAACGCCATACCTCATACGAAGCAGTTGGTGCAGACACCCTCCAACTCATTCTCCCCAGACTAAGATGTCATCCGACGAAGATGCCCGTGCTGCGGCTGCAATAGTAGTAGAGCTATACAACATCGTGTATGTTTCTGCCATCCTCCGTTCCCTTATCTGCGTTGTAATTGCGGGTCGCGCGTGCTGACTGCATTGAGCAGGTATACTGGTAACTACTGCGATCTAGCGACTTCAGGTGAGTTCACCTTGTTACGAGCTTACGACCTCACCCCGTCAACCCAATGCAGTCCTCTTCATCTACGATTCGGTCGTAACTTTAGAACGAGAAGTTGCATGCTTTTTGACGGCTGAGCGGAATGGGACATCTCTCTTGTTTCTCTCGAACAAGGTCATCTCCATGACGTTCTATGTCATGCAACTGATCGGGTTCATGACTTTCCCTTCGGATGCGGTGAGCTCCAACCTATACTCGCACTGAATACCTCGCACTGATATTGGCTTCAGAGGTCTGTCACTCGGTGGGAGCGTTGTGTGTTCTACTCTCGTCTGACTCTATCGGCAGCTGCGGCTCGTTCAGCCGGGCATTGCATGCGATGCTAGCCTTGCAAATGATTCCCTGGGCTGGTGAGTTGTGCTCCTGCTCGTCGTGCGAGCGGCTCTGATGTCTTGTTGTCAGTGTTCTCCGCTCTCCGTGCATACGTCGTTAGCAGGAGCAAGGTCCTTGGATTCCTAGTGCTCGTGTTTTCGATCGCGCCAACAGCTGCCAATCTGGTGAGCGTTTTACTTCTAGTGACATGACAACGTAGATTGATCTATGTAAGGTTCCGTACGGCTATGGGCTCTCGGGAGTGATCCTCGCGAAGTATGGTCTTGGATGTTTGTCGACAGATGATACGACGGCAGAACTCACTTTAAGGTAGGTGTCCTTCCACGTCGTTTCACTCCGTCTCGTACTGAGACCTTGAAGACGTAGGTTGACTCGTGATCATGTAAAGTATCACTATCTTATCCAGCGATACATCCGCAGTCACGATCGTCTCTCGAGCACCGCTTATCGCTGCAGATATTCTGCTCATTTTCATCACCTGGACGAAACTGAGTAGTCGAGATGTTCTCAAAGGTATCCGAGGGTCGGGGAGACTATCGCTCTCGGACATCATCCTCCGCGACGGTATGCGTTCTCCCCACTGAATGCCTAACATTGCCATGCTAAATAGGCCGCACGCAGGAACCATCTACTTCATGTCCGTGCTTCGCTTAGTAAGTTGTGTGCTTTCCCTGATGAGCTTGGCAGTGTTCTGTCACTCCTCAATATCCTTCACCTTACCCTGTCCCTTCTCTCAGTAAGTTTCACGACGAACCGCATTTTGCGGATGCCGCCTAATACCCTGAAACTAGGCACATAACATAACGCGCCAGGCGACAATCAACGGCACCGGAAGCAGTTTCGTGACACTATTCACGGCCCCGTACGTCCCTCCCAAAGCTCACCGTATGCTGCGATTACTAGCTAACCGATATATGTACTTCCGCCTTCACTGCCAGCATAACCGCGATCCTCATGTCGCGCTTCCTGTTGCAATTGCAAGAGGCCAATCAAGCAGTCATCAGAGTCGACCCAGACGATCCGTTGTATTCCTCGAGGGACCCCTACGATGACACTCCCAGCTTCATCTCATCCCTCGGCGCATTTATCAACCCGGATCTTTCACGGGGCGATAATCTCGAACTGAGCCTTCGCTCTCACTCGGATGGCCAGGTCGAACCGTCTCCCTCCGCCTAAGGTGCTCGTTGGATCTTCATCTCTCTCAAAATCATAATTGTGAGTAGCATCTCACATCCTGGACTTTACTCACGCGGACTGCACAGCGGCAAGTGCCAATGCAACTGAGGTTTCGAGTAACCTTGAAGCTCCGAGACTACTATTTAAGGGAACATTCGTCGTTTCGACGGCCATGCAGCATGGTCATGTCATTATCTTCGAGCAGCTCCAGTGCTACTAGATGTCCGTTAGTTCCGCCGTCATCCCATGATGTACGCTGAATCGCACGGGATCGGGCATTTGCATTAGGGTCGAACGAGAGCCA